AGATAACTTTTGACAAATTGTGAAAAATAGTTTAAAATAGTAAAATAAAAATTCTATTCCTCAAAATAAATATCATAAGCTTCAGTGGTGAATAAACATAATTGTATTACTTTATTTGTTTCCATGAAAGAATTTTTAAAAAAACAGAACGAGAAACTATATTATTTTTTTAATAATTATTCCCACATGTTGAAGGCCTTCTTTACTTTTCCTTGCACTAATAGCGCTGTTCTCTTTTCAGTCTCATTAATGCATATTAACTTATCATGTATGTTTCTCAGATGTTAACTTCCGCCTCGTGAACATCAGCGCTCAATTTAATTTACTGAAGTCCCCGGGTCACTTCTTGTCGCAAATATTACGTGGAACTATTACAAAACTTCTATTATTCTTGAAACATTAGTTCCTTCGTTATTCACAAACATGAAAAGGTTCTCTATCAAACCTTTTTATCGTGTCTTTTCGCCGACCAATCTCTAAGGGAATAACATGTAATGTGATATATTACACAGCATTCATTCCATTCACATAAAAAGTTATGCCAAGAAATGATCATAACAAGCGACTTTTACAGCCACCACAAAACTACGAAAACTCGATTCTTCAGTAAAAACAGCAAGGCAAATCACCACAAGTGTACCTATCAAGAGATTCTGTTGTCTCTACGATTCACGTTTCGTCAATTGCGAAGTTGCAACACACGCCGCACTATTGTTATTCGCCTGGGTGGGAGATAGGTTTTCCTCCAGCGTGCGGGTGACGTGCGAAACAGTGCTGCTGACGTCCCATCCCTCTAATAAGCGTAATGAGCACAGTGGGAAGTCCAGCTTCGAATTGTGGCCAACGGGAGACGACCCCATCACGAAGCAAAACCCGATATCTTCCTTCCACCACATCTCGAAATCAAGACTTTGGCCCCTTGTTGACAGCGAACATTCTTGATTCTTTTCGATGAACTACTCGAGATAAAACTGTAATGAAATAGTGTATTCTTCTACGACAGTATAAATATGAGTATAATTCAGTTCAGAATTGATGTTTATGACACGAGCGACGTAGGACAGTGTCGTAATTTCCCCTACTGAATAATGGCTATTATACGCAAGTAGAAGTCAATCGGTGGGTGTCACCAACGCTGATCAGTAGCTGTGAAAGAGATTCCATTATTGCCAGAGCGTGAAACACCTCATTCCCTTGTTAGTAATGGTTAATAATTTAATATTTCCTTTGCTTACATAAGTTTAAAAAATCCCGAATTGCAAAGTTAATGCAAGTCTGTCCTTGGATTCTAAAAATTACATATATAGTATAATTGAATGGTCATAGAGAAATCTATGTAACCATAGTTACCGGGGCAGTAAAAGGTACTTGCATTAGATCAATATTATGAAAAAATGAAATTAAATTTTCCAACATGTTTTAATAGCCAAGGATTTTTGTAATATAGGCCAAGATTTTTTGTAATATTGCTGATCACATTCTGAACACTTCGTTTGCGAAAAAGGTGTGGAATATTTTTCATGGTTTTGGTTGTATATAAAAATATAAAATAGCCTACCTTCGATAGCTTAGTTCATTTTTCCGTTGTCCATTCTCCAATTAAATTTTGGGATGAGAAGGAACAATGAGAGAGAGAGAGAGAGAGAGAGAGAGAGAGAGAGAGAGAGAGAGAGGCATGAGAGTGAAGAGAAAATATCGAGAGAGAGGGAAAGGAACGAATAGAGGAAGAGAGACTTATAAGAATACCCGTATTCTGTTTGATGCATTGCAAATTAAATCATATAAAATAACCGAACCCCTTTTACTAATATTTGCAAAGTAACTTCTTTGGGCGAACACACATAAGAGGGGACAAGTTTGTCCCGAAAATTATTAAATCCTTTCCGATGTCTACATTCATTAACATGGAGCCCGGCAGTAAGCCATGAATCTCTTCATTATATTTTGATTGGAAAACTATATATTTTTAAACAGTTTCAATTAGTAACAAATAATGTGCGTATCACTTTACATTTTGTTTTTCAACTCCACCGCTCCTACATTATTTACTTTCCAACATAATATACAACACGTGGAGGCGGCCAATAAGGCCGAAATCATCAGGGCAGTAGTGCCGTAGCGATCTCTGACTAGAAGACCGCGGGTTCGAGTCCGCCTGAGGCAAGGGTATTTGTGTATATCTACATCTGTGTGCCATCCTTTCATCCCCCATGTCTCATCATCTATATTCCCAGGGCTAACAACATTCTGGATAAGAATCAGGATTAGGCTAAAATGCCATTCCCCTCCAGATAAAAGGTACCTGCACCTGCTGAAGCAGGATGCACGCGTGGTCCGAGTTGGCCTATACAAAACAGTTGCAGTATACTAGATCCGTTATACTGTAACAAGTTTTCTTGTTATAGTATCATGGATCTGATATACTGCAACTGTTCTTTTCGTTTCATGTACGAGAGAAAAAAAAAATAGAAGACGTCAGACACACAGAAAGTGATTTTTCTCACCGAATATCACTACGGCGAAATGCTCTTCGCGGCTCGTACCACCGAGCGCCAGCGCAGCGCTTTGGAGGAGCCTCTGCATCCCGCGAGGTCCTACTTTTCCTGCTGTTGTAACAACTTCTATTGACGCAACGAGCACAATCTTATTGATCCAGACAGCCTGATAACATGATATAGTATATTCCCTTTGAAAGCGTGTTTCTTCAGCACTACCTCCAACAAACAGAAGTAAAAAGCAGCCGCCTAGAGAGTAGAATCCTACATTTTTGCGTCGCAAAGTATCTGCAGACAGAAACTCATTTTATACGAAAGTGGTCTGCAGCACATGACATGAACTTTTACACTCGTCATAAAGTTACATTACAAATTGCGGCGAATCAGAATTGCTAAAGACGACTTCGTTAAGTTTAACCACCTCACAATAAACCGAAAAGTCACAAGGCGTCTACAGAGGACATGAATGCAATCAACACACAAGACTCCTACAATTTTCCAGACTTCACATTCACTCTCAGCGCATGCGTCACTCTCTTACACAATTGACGAAATTACAGAGCAGACTCTTATACTCTTCAAAAACAATACTTCATAGAACACACACTCAAGACGTCGCGACATCGTTAAGAACGAATGTCGAGAGGGGGCGCCCCCTTTCGCAGCCGCTTATTCATCATGGCCAAACGAGCTTGGTGGGTGCAGCCAGCTCTTGCGCAACGCGGTGAAACCAGGTGCTTGAATCACGTGTCATCAGCACTTGGTTGAATCGTCCAATGTCACAGCATTTCGTCGATTTCTACCGCTACTCGATCAAACCATTCCACGCCATTTCCCAGCACTCCATGCAAAAAGACTTCAATTAATACATCCTGTTTCACCTTCATTGTTGGTTCGAAAATTACTGTAGTAGTAGTAATTACTGTAGAGCTGCTACAGACTTCCTCGTTAAGCTAGACCTTTAGGTACCCTAGATACAACGGCAAAATGATAAAGAAACAATTGTAAACATTACTTCCAAGATAGTTTGAGCGAAATTACGGCAGGTCTCAATCATTTTCTAAAATTTATTTAACAGTCACCGTCAGACACTTAAATACAAAAAATGGTTATTCAGCTCACAAACACAAAAACGCGAGTTTATAGACAGAACAATATTTTTAGTCTCTTAACAAACACCTAAAGGATGTCAGGAATGAAATAAAATTTCATAATAATATAACATTGTTACTCCCTTAATATGTTTTCTACCCTACACAAGAAAACACGAACATAAATTCCACGAATATTCGAATTATTTTCCTACTAGTACTATTTTATTACAACTAGTACTATTTTATTACAACTAGTACTATTTTATTATTATATTATGGTATAACATAATTTTAAGAACAATTAATCCCTTACCCCGCCGCAGTACGTCATTTCCTACAAAAGAATCCTACAACACGTGAATCTTACGTAACTTGTTATCTGGAGACACTCATCATACAGATTTATTTTTTGCTCGGCTCCTTGCGGTTTTGCCAGACTTGGGTCAGCGACCTTCACATCTTATTGGGCTTTCCCGTAGACAAAACCACCCGAGGACGAAGTCTACGTTGACACAATTCCAAGAATAGCAGTTTTGTTGAGTATTACAGCATGAAAATTTTATTTTTAAATAAAAAAAATTGCTTCTTCGGTACACATCGAAACAATCACATTCATATTCTTCTAAAATGTTGGAACGTAAATATCCTTTTCTTTTCATTTCATAATTTTATTTTTGTTACACCTGAAACGCTTCTTTACTTATACCTTTCAAATATAAGAATTTATAGCAAAATATTATTATAGACAATTTAAATAAAATAAGGGAAAATCTCTGCAAGTAATCCATTTTGCACACCAATGTTACAAACGTGCAATCCCTACTAAATGTTTGGGTTCTTCAAGACACTGAAATGAATTGGGTACACGATATCAATACTTTCATGTTAAGCATCGCGATCGCTATTCACTCTAGTTCCAATTCACGAACGAAGACCCTGCGAGAATTCACGTCGAAAGCGCACAAACATTCGTTGCAACAATTTCTACTTCTGGAAACGTGCGCATGTACAGAAAAAGACTGCGAACACAACGGTAAGTTCTCTAGGAACTGACGCACACAGTCTTGTACGTATGGTACTTTATATATGGGTGTGTCAGTGAAGGAGAATCATAAAAGCTACAATTTTCAGTTTTTCAAGGTGGCCAATCCACGATCCCGTGTGAGTTACCTTATTTCTATCCAGTACTACAGGTTTCCAATTTCTAGCCGAATGGCACGATAACACCTGACTATCTTGGCTCTCTGTTGATTTCCATGCGTTCGCCAAATCGAGCAGCATCTCAAAACCGCATGAGAAAGCTTATGATCCCCACCGAGCCGAACTGTCTTTTAGAGTATTTTTAAACATGCAAAAACAGAATAAAATGGAAGGTGTGAATAAAAAGGTGTATTTGCTGTTGGCTTTGCAGGGATGAGGGGCTGCGAGGCGGAAGCAGTGGCGATGGCGATGTGCGCGGTGCTCATCGGGCTCGCGCAGCTGCAGACGCACGTGCTGGCGCAAACCCGGTCGCGGGCGCAGGCGCAGAGGCCCACCATCCTGGAGTCTGGCATCTCGCTGCTGTTCCGCGAGGCGCTGGCCAGCCTGCAAGAGCCCATCGACCAGCCAGTGGTGCTGCCCGAATACGACTTTATTGTAGTGGGCGCCGGCACGGCCGGCTGCGTTGTCACCAGCAGGCTCACCGAGGTGAGCGCCCTCCCCCACCCCTACCTCTCCGCAAGGTCACGCTGCCACCACCGGCGCATGGGCCCCCGAAGGAGCAAGAGAGACGGAACAAAATACGAAACAACTCTAATAAAGAATAATATGCACCTCCATGGCGATTAAGACAGCAAATACCCTTTCGGAAAATCTTCAATCTTTCAGGGGAAATAAAAAGGAACACACGGTTCAATCTCAACAAACTTTACTGATTACGAGATTCTTCGAATCGACGTATGCCGCAGGTTGCGTCACGAAAACAAAGGAGAATCGCCCCTTTTGTGTCCTATCAATTTTATTTTTATTCGATTTTGTCTGTAGATACATTTTGATATAACATAACAGTTGTTTATTTTTGTTTTTTCAGTAACGTTTTGTTAGGAGAGTCCATGCAAACTGCTGTTATTGAAACTGTAGCGTAATACTTTTATTCAGATAGCCCTTCAAAACTTGTTACCAAGACTTTAAATTACCCACAAGATGGAAAGTTTGCCTAGAGCCACAATTACAAAAAAACAAACAAAGAAAACTAATGTGAAATAATGTGCACCTCCATTTCTTGTTCATTCGGTTATTTACGTTATTTGAGTAGGGAACTCGTCTTCAGCGAACATACGAATGAAATGTTGAAATTAATTTCGAAGACATTTTCGTTTCTTGTATTATGTTTCGTGCCAAGTCACGAAAGTACTCTTTCGAGATTATTATCATTATATGTGAGACGGCACCCACGTTTATTCATTACTTTCCAGGGTTTGGTTTACTTTGCATTAAGTTACTATTGTCGCATTATCGTGCACCAGAAACTGTAATCATGCGCAGGAATATAATTCTGTTGAACTGAATCGGAGGATAACAAAACCAAACCTCAATAAATTGTCGCTACATATCGCACACTGACGATACATACAATAATAACGAAATCTATCAATGAATTCCTAAGGCAAATAAGTAACTTCCTTCGATATTCAACCATATTTGCTATTTGTGCTAACACAATACTAAAACATTTTTTTAAAATGTTTATTAGCATATCTGGCACGAAAAATTAAATGGAATTTAAGACAAAAAATTCGTAAGGGAAAAGCTTTGCAAGGAATTGATTTTTTTTAGTTTCCGGAGCATTCCACCTAAAATAATAGTAATAATAAAACAATAATAATAATTATTGTTATTAGCTTAACATGGCACCTCCTACGGGTATTTTCACGTTAAAAAGTTTTATTTGTGCTTTACAGGTTCATAATAAAAACAAATTGCCAATATATCTGCATTAGATTTGCCCTCCTTGCTCATTTTCTGGCATACAAATGTGTATGAAAAAGTAGCGACTGAAGTAAGAGTTTTATTTTTGTTTTATTATAAAATTAGATATAATAATCCACGAACTTAAGAATCAAATAATTCATATAAATGTCGAGAAGAGTTATTCAAAGCGTTTCACTCGTGTGAAGACTAGAGGCTCTAGAGGATCGAAAAGGGATTAACAATGAGTGACGGACGGAGGTTCTTAATACATAATACATAATAATAATAATAATAATAATAATAATAATAATAATAATAATAATAATAATAATAACAATAACAATAACCGAGCAAAGTGGCTCAGTGCGTAGCACTGACTTCGCTGTCGTGAGGCCCGGGTTCGATTCCCGAGTCGGCCATTCTAACCGGGATTTTCGTGGTTTCGCCTCGGTCATGCAAGAAATTGCTGGGATGGTTCAAAGAGTTCCCGATCACCTCTCACATATCATTATCATGCGCTTATCACCTCATAATTCAAGGCTTATAAACCTTGTCTCACTCAGGGATACGGACGAAAAGCTGAGCGCAAAATATTGAAAATAAATTAAAGCTATGTTACAATCGAAGAGGTTATGTTATAGTACACACGCTGATTATTGGACATCAACATAGCGATTAATGTATACCGCTTCCAGAGTTAGATGAGTCACTGTTTATGATTGGTCAGGAGGGAGAAGCAGTAAGAAAAATCGGATAGAAAAAGCGACAGCCTTTTTTAGATACTCCACCCTGATTGGGGCATTTTGAATGTATACTTGAACACTATTGGTTTTAATTTCTCAGTGGACACGAGTCACTGCAACAAATTTTAGTCGCTATTGTCCTCAACAGTCGACGCGACAACACTAATAATAATAATAATAATAATAATAATAATAATAATAATAATAATAATAATAATAATGCATTCTTCACCCAATACTTAAAAATAATACCTGCCCACAGGTTCCAAATTGGAAAGTGCTGTTGCTGGAGGCGGGAAGCGAAGAGAACTTCGTTATGGACATCCCGATCGTGGCCAACTTCCTGCAGTTCAGCAACGCCAATTGGGACTACCGCACTGTGCCCAGCAACACTTCTTGCCTCGGGATGGAGAATCGCCAGTGCCGCTACCCACGCGGCAAAGTCATGGGCGGCAGCTCCGTTCTCAACTACATGATCTACACGCGCGGCAATCGTCGCGACTACGACAACTGGCGCGACATGGGCAACCCGGGCTGGGGCTGGGACGACGTGCTGCCGTACTTCAAGAAGTCGGAGGACATGCAGGACAAGCAGCTGGCGCGCGACACCAAGTACCACAAGACGGGCGGGTACCTCGCCGTCAGCATCCCAGAGTTCCGCACGCCGCTGGCCAAGGCCTTCGTGGACGCCGGTCGCGAGTCAGGCGAGCCCGTGAGAGACTTCAACGGCGAGAAGCAGACGGGCTTCAGTTACATCCAATCCACCACGAAAAACGGGACGCGCTGGAGCTCCTCCAGGGCCTTCCTGCACCCGGTTCGCAACCGGCGAAATCTGCACGTCAAGAAGCGTGCGCTCGTCACAAGGATCCTCATCCACCCGGAAAACAAGACCGCGTACGGCGTCGAGTACCGTCACAACGGCGTCACTTATCGCGTGCGAGCGACAAGGGAAGTCATCTTGTCCGCAGGAGCCATCAACTCCCCGCAGCTACTCATGCTGTCTGGCGTAGGCCCCAAGAAACATCTCACGCAGGTGGGAATACCCGTCCTCCAGAACCTCAAGGTTGGATACAACCTCATGGATCACGTGTGCAAAGGCGGGCTCACGTTTGTGGTCAACGACACCGTGTCCTTGCGAACGGATCACATTCTCGAGCAGCGAGATTATTACGTGGATTATCTGGCCTACAAAATGGGTCCTCTGGCGGTACCCGGAGGATGCGAAGCCCTCGCCTTTTACGACTTCGCGAACCCCGATGACGATGATGGCTACCCTGACATGGAACTACTTTTCCAGAGCGGATCAATCGTCTCGGAGACGACTCTCAGAAGGAACTTTGGTATCGCTGACGACATTTACGATGCAGTCTTCAAACCTATAGAGAAAGCAGATACCTGGATGGTTCTGCCAATGTTAATGAGGCCGAAGAGCAAAGGCAGAATTATGCTGAAAAGTGCAAACCCAACGGACAAACCTTTGATCTTCCCCAATTACTTTGCGCATCAGGAAGATCTCGACCTCATCGTAAAGGGAATTAAAAAAACTATAGAACTTAATGAGTTGGCGCCCTTTAAGAAGTTCAACAGCAAGCTGCACGACATTCCCATTCCTGGTTGTAAACATTTAAAATTCGGATCGGATGAATACTGGGGGTGTGCAACACGTTACTTCTCTTTTACTATCTATCACCAGTCTGGTACGTGCAAGATGGGACCAGTCTCCGATAAGACGGCAGTCGTTGACCCCCGTTTACGAGTAATGGGAATCAAGGGATTAAGAGTTATCGATGCCTCTATTATGCCAGAAATTCCCGCAGCACATACGAATGCTCCCACATACATGATTGGAGAGAAAGGATCAGATATGATAAAGGAAGATTGGGGAGAACGAACGCAGCCACTCTGAGTCCTCTTCGTGTTATTCGAATCCACAATTCGAATCGCCTACCAAAGATCACCATCTCTGGCCAAGAACTCTCTGCCCCCTCACGTTCGGTTGCAGACTAAACATTCAAAAGCCACATGCAAACTAGCATGGCCTCAAACGTGGCGAGAGGCAGATGGACCTGGTATCCAACGGCATTCTATTCAATATTCACCCTGCTAATGAGTAGAATAAAAGGAAACTGATTATCTACACGTCTATTTATCGAAGACTACACCTATATTTCTCGGCGATATGCTGAAAATGAATGAGCCATACGTCAAAACATCAATAGTCAAGTGCTGATGTTATGTGAGAATTGTTTTAAGATGTATCCCTGAGTGAAATGTGTTGTTCATCAGAATCAGCAGAAAAAACAGCAAAAGGAGTTCACTTTACCGTAAGTGAAGCAAAAGTACAATCTGACTAGTGCAGTTTTTATCATTTTATGTATCGCGTGAAAATGCGAATCGCACGAAACTGACTTGTGAGAGTTCATTACAGAGAGTTTCCCAGAAAAAAAATTCTCTTAAATGTCTAGCACAGTTATGTTCTACTAGTAAAATATTGGGTCACTCTTACCAGAAAACTCCATGCATTATATAATTATTTGATCATAAATACAAGTCAATACCAAAATTTTATCATAGTAATCTCAGGAAACTTCATGCATGATCATAAATACACGTCACAATCTTTAATGATGTAATAATTATTAACAGAACCTTATAATTCAATGTAATCATTACACAATATCTCTTGGGAAATATCAAAAAAGACGAAACAATGGATGTAATTCTTTGTCGAATTACTTAGAAACAAACCCCTTCTACTGACGCTAAGTTCCGGTTCAGTGCAGAACCTCCCATTTCCAGACAGGCTCCTGCATCCAATATACAGGACAATTCAGAGTAAATACTACAAATGTTTATGGCACACAAGGGAACGCAAATCACAGTTTGCCTATGCTCTTTGGGTGGCCATTTTTTAAAATCACGCTCTTAACATTAGGTAATCCATTCTGTACTGCAGGTACATGACCTCTCAGAGGAAAAACTGACCACGGGCAATGCCAACATAAGACATTTCATTTTTCAGTTCTGACACAGAAATTTCCAGTTTTGAAGAAAATGCCATTAAGGAAATTTACGTATTATTAGTAATGTAAAATATTTGCAATAAACGAGAATATTTCTTATCATTTCAGAAATATTTTCATGATTCGTTCACAAACATAATTTACGTAAGTACTACAACAAAAAGCGGGTCTCTGATGTACAAATGAAATGATTTGAAAGAGTATGTCACAGACACTTTTATAACAATTCCGCACATTATGTTTTAGCAAGAATTCATAAAACAAAGTATGTAGACTTGGGATCATAATCAACATGCACGATGGCAGCCATATTTATTCATGTTGACTTACTAGCCGTACGCGTACCGCAAAGTAACGTCCCTGTCAAACAGTGGTGGGTAAGTACAAGTTTACATACACGAGTGCAGAAAACGTTTATTAATACACGTTAATGAATTAGCAACAACTATTGAGTTAATCAAAACGGAACGAAATTGAAATTTTGATGTATAATTTACTATGTCAAAAATTCAACGGTAGAACAAAACATTCCATGATGTGCAACTTACAATCCTATAATCCCATAACTTGTTTCAGAGACATTAGCTAATTGACTTCGCATTTCAATTATTAGGGCATTTGATTACAATTTTGCAGCAAAAAATCCGCTAAAACCAGTGGAGCACGCAAAGGGAAGAGGGATACTCACGAGCCTTCATCTCCTCTCTCTAGTAGCCAAAATGTAGCTCTTATTAAATTTCTCTTCTAACGAAATTAAGTCGTTCAATACAACAATCGCTATCGTTATTAATATTAACTACAATTCAACATCTAAAAAAACTATAATGTATACTTGGCATTAATGAAACATTTTTTATACATCCAGTCGGCTGGACACTATAGCTGCAGCCACCCCTCCCGTTTCGAGAAACATTGCGGTTTGCCTCTGGCTAGAACATTTTTTTAACCTTACCCCGCGGCACTACTTCGAAATATTCATATCTGAATCAAGATACCACAAGCAACACAAAATGGGATGTCAACGCCGATCGTTGTGTCTAACAAGTGCATTTCATTCACCGGATGACCCGGGAGAGGCTTGAGGAGCTTTTGGGATACTGTCGTATTTCTGTTCGCGTTTCGATGTGAATGATCCCGCTCAGGTGGTCCCAACGGAGAGGAAGAAGGGAAAGGCGAGCGGCGAGGCGTAGGGCTAAGGGTGGAGGCGGCTTCGGCTTTGGCTTCCGCCCGCAGGGCTTCGCGACGTGGCAGTCCAGAAGCCCTTGGGATGCAAAACTGCTTACGCACGCGGAGGGCGACACGCAGTCAGAAGCGGACTGCTTGCCCTGCGCCTTCTCTGCTCATCTGCCTTCTCTTCTCCGAGATTCCTTGGTCATCAACCTCGGTTCAACCCTCGTACGCCACAGCAAACATTGTACAGATGGTGTACGTGTGCACATAATAAACGAAAAATTGAAAAATTTGTACGATATTCGATTATGTTGTGTTTGTACATGTAGTGCATGATCCATACTACCGCTTCAATTCAAGCAACTCCGAACGATTGCAGCAGGTACATAAACTTTTTATAATCACTTTAAAAACATTACCATCATCTTTACCAAGAAGTTATTTACACTGACATGTGAAAAGAAATACGTGAAAAAAAAAAGAAGTTTGAAGTAGTAAAATCATTTATTTACAAGCAAAATCATTTACTTAATTTGCTGAAACTCGCAAATTCAATTTGTGAAAATTATGGAAGCCTACTGTATAGCTTGAAGCAAGACGCAACTTCGAGTACGAAGGCCAGAGAGGAAACTGCATACGCAGGTTCAGTTTTCCACAATTCTGCTAGCAATAAGAATAATGGTGTACGCAGTTAGCTATCCGGGCTTTAATTTTAAAGAACTTTATCTTGTTAAATTCTAAATTCCAATGTTTACGTAACTTTTCACAATTTGCCTACATTACAATAAGAAATAAATTATCAACTTTTAATATCACTGATAGGTTTTCTTTCTTGTCTCCACACATCCTCACGAAATGAAAACAATAATCCTACTAATTAGCTTCAGATGTAATATCGAGGACGGAATAGTTTTGTGGTACTTGTAAATTCAAGAATACAGCTGCAATAATAATTATTATCTTACAATTATTATGTTTTTACATGCCCATTCAAGTGTGAATATGTAATTTCTGCAAGTATTTACTCTAAGTAAAAAGTTGTTCTCGAGTTTTACTCAACAAAACGTAAGTATTTACTTCAAAAGCTTCTAGTACTTACACCACATTCTATTATCTACATGACCCAATACACTCACAATAGTCCACGTCTACCAAATTCCGTAATTGGTGATAGTAATAATTCTATAAGCTCTATTTCATGTATACAGAAGTCATCAACGAAAGGTAAAAATACTACGGTACACAATTAGGAAATTTTTAGATATTCTTGTAGAAACACAATCTGACAACCTTTTGGGGGGGGGGGAACTTCCGATAGGCATTTTTGCCCTCATCGTCTTGCGAACACCTTATTCATGATATACATAGATAATTCCGGGAATGGGATAAAACAGTGAGATAACCAAAGATCTGTCAAGGTGGCGAAATGTTTCATTCCATTCGTTACTAACTCAACGAACTCAATATTATGTCTCAGTCTAATGTCACTTTATATCTCAAATGAAATAATTAATCTATTCGCAACACTATCCTTCCAAGTGATAATGGAATAACAATACATTATGTTAATGTAAATTCTAGGTGAACGCGGTCCACTACCTCAACAACGGGCGATATTCCCCACTATTTCCCCCACTCCCATTCTTAGGGCCCGGCGCAGGTCTGATCTCCGCTTCCACATCGCCGGACTCATGTGCAAAAGAATGAATCGGGCAGTGCTGAAAGGAAGTGGATGTTGGGGAAGGTTAAAGCTCGGCTGCAGCGCAATCAGAAATAAGGCAAAGAATTGTTTTATTTATTATTTCAATAAGCCGCCCAATAGTTGAGAACGTTTTTTCTGCTACATGTCACTAGCGTTCAATAAACATATGGTAACAAACGAATGGAATAATTTGTAAAATTATCGATGCGGAACGCAAACTAGAAACTATGCTACTGAATGGAAATATGGTACCTCTCCGTTGCAAAGAAATGGCAATGTGTGTGTGTGTGAGGGGGGGGAGTAATGCTGCAATTCATTCTTCATTCATATTAGATTCAAAAGTCCCCCCCCTCACAGATGTCTGGAATTATAGCTACACTTCATATAATTCAGGCAAATGACAGTAAGAATCGCTCAACCACATAGCAGAACGTAAGGGAAGTAAACATAGAAGTTGAATGAATACAGCGGCCTTGAACATCTCTTCGTGAGCCTTATGTCCGTTGTAAACGAACAGAGATGTGGTGCAAGACAGTTTTCTGCCGAAACCTTCCACACGCACATTCAAATACAACCAGCACCACGTTTTTCTTCCTCCACATACTTCACACAGGCTGGCTCTTGTGCTAGCGCGGCACTATTCATCGAGCGGTGAATGCGATCTGAAAGAGAAAGCGACTGACGAGAGTTAAGGCTGCAGAATAAAACAAATCGCTAGAGAACGTGACTCCAGAAAGGCGCACGCTGTGACGTGGCCGTGAACTACAGAACGTGTCCTGACGGCTCAACGGCGAAGTTTAGATGTCTGCTCACGCATCCTGTCTTGCCCATACACTCCGACACTCATCTCGTACACGCCTCGCTTATACATACATACATACAAACATACATACAAACATACATACAAACATACATACAAACATACATACAAACATACATACATACAAACATACATACATACATACATACATTACATACATACATACACCTCTTCGGCAACTTACGCAACAGCTATGATTTGTCCCCAAACACCCTCAGTAAAATGAGTGATGAGTAGGAAACCCTCTTTATTTACAATTTATTATGATTATCTCCCCCAAACAATACAATTACAAAATTAACGCTGATACCACTTAAGTTATGAATATTACTTAAATTATATATATTTATTAATAAATACAATTATATAAAAGAGAAAGTAATATATAATTTCTTTAAAGTAACATTATTCATTCCCCTAGTTTGTTCCTTGAGATTGAGTATTTACTCAGTTCAAATCTTCGCAGTAGGTCGCGGATTCAAATCCCGCCAAATTTTATATATGTATGTTTGCGTGGCGTGGCATGACCTAGTACTCCCAATCACCTTCCAGCGCTCTTCCGTCCAATCCTTACCGGACTGCAGACGCAAGGGCTTGGGTCACATCGTCCAAGAACACCTTACACTCACGCTGCCGGGCCTAATAACTCGTGAGGCAAGGATGTTGATGGTGTGTTGGGGCGCTGACAACCATTCTCTATCTTCTTTCAAACTTCTTCCTTCCATTCCCTAAAATCAGTCCCTTGCCCAGAATGGGCAAATTGTAGCCGAGATGGGCCTACGGGGTACCTAGGCACTACTTACGTACAGTGATCATTAGAGATACTGAAACGAGACTGATCCCTACCCGGCAATGGCATATTGGAAGTGCTCCAGGACAGAGATGTCAAGCTTTATGGAGGTAACGAAAGAGGGGATGAACTCTTAAGTCTGATAAGCTCGCGGTGACACGAAGATGCTGGAATGGGATCAGTAAGAACCGAAACGCCACTACTTAAAAAATAAAAGAGGTACGAGCTCGTTCATTACATTCTTACTGAACGTGGGCAAAAAACATCACGCTACAGTCGTATTCATGGTTTGTTACATTTAAAACATCTAAAGGAAATGCAGATTTCGCAAGGAATGCAGCAACAGAGTTTTGACAATGACTGCTAAGCAATGTATAGGTTTAAAATTTAAAAAAAATGTTCACACAATTTCATCATCCTTGACTATCATCGTAATTAGAGATCGGATTTTTACTGCAACTGTGCATTTCTGCTTCGTCACAGACAAGAGTAAAGTTTTCTATCCAAATTGGAGTCCCTACTGCTTATTGTGGCGTTTTATTTTTAATATTTATAGGATACTGCACAAAACTGCATATTTCAGAGTATTATATAGTGTATTTTACAATTAATAATGGATAAAATTTTAAATTTCACGGCCATTATTATTTCCCTGTTGTTTTTTTGTTGTTTTTATTGATCATTGGTGAAAATCTGAATGTGAAGTTACTTAGATAATTTATTTTTCTTTTATTTGAAATAAAAAAACTACATCTCGCAAACGAATGGCTAATTTAATCGCAGAATTGTGTAAACAATATGAAACGATTTAATCATATTCCTCTTCGACAGAAGGAAGAGCCCAACTCATATTTCTCTGAAATCGTATCTTCGAACATCGAATTTGTAGAATCATATGCTACTTATTTACTCTTCTCTATCGTTTCTTTTTTTCTGTTAATTTTAAGTGTGGATCAGTTACGAACAGATTTTTCGCCAGCACAAAACAAGTTGACGTAACGTTGACGTAAGTATTGCCTATGAGGGTTTCATATCCTACTTTGAAACTACGAATCTGGATTGCCAAATTTAACAAGAAATGTAAATTTTTTACGAGCAACGGAGCCGTAGTTTTGCCAAACTTGTAGTCAGCAGATAACCGCTGAACGGACGTTGCAATTCCAACATAGAAAAAGCACACATGTTTTTACATTTTTGTTTCAGAAGAAATAGACGTCTTAAAAAGTTGAAAGCAGGAGGAATGGAACTGGTGCAGAACTTTCATATCGTAGAAGAATGTAGGAAGGAATGTGCATTCTATTCCAGAAGTAGGAAGTAAATTAAAGGGAAACCACGGCAAAAAAACTCAATAAAAGCAAAGGTTTGAAGGGACTTAACTAACTAATAGGGCTTCAAATATCCGACAGATCCAAAGATTTTGAGTAGCTTTAAATTTCCACCGATCACTAGCGTGGACGTGGAAACTTCCATTTCGAAATACAAACAAATCGTCAAGAAAATCTCCCATGTATTTGTTTAATGTAAATAATACAATATTGCTATAATTTTTTGGTGTTTCATTACGCGATAGTTTGGTAAATATATTAAATATCTGTAAATTTATTTTCTCAATTTATCATGAAATAATTAAATCTAAAAGTAAATTTTATTTCTTTATATTGAATAGTGTTATTACGTAACGTTTCTTATTTTATTTGCACATTTGACTTTTTACTGATTTTTTTGTACTTTATACTGCATAAAAATTCTTAATCCACCAAATAATAAAGTGTGTCGAACGTTCATGGGTAGAATTAAAAAACTATTTTGAGAAACCGCAGTTTAGCAGATTTTTATCAACTCCAGAAGTGTAAAAGAAGTAAAGGCAATGAATCTGTCTGAAATTATAATTCAGAATCATGTACAATAGTGGAAATGTCATGTACAATAGTGGAAATGTCATGTACAATAGTGGAAATGTCATGTACAATAGAGGTAATGTCATGTACAATAGAGGTAATGTCATGTACAATAGAGGTAATGTCATGTAAAATAGTGGTAGTATCAATAATTCAGGTGTGTGCAATAAATTTTTAAGTATTAGAAAAAACACAATATTTTTTAAACCGTTCTGTCTCCAAGTTTTCTTTTTTTCCTCTACCAATTTACAAGGTGAAAACCATAACACAGTGTCTTAAGTACGAGAAATGACACGGTTCTGCTCCCAAGGCGCTACAATCTAAAGAAAAATTCACGCAATTTTTACACGCATTTCTATGTAACACGCTATTCAATCCGAGTCTTCCACCTGAAAGCCGAAGTCTGTATGAGTCAGTCTCCAACCACCTCGGATTGGAGATAACTGAGGACCCAAACTGGAAAATTCTTCGCGCGCAAAGCAGTTGAACACTTTAATTTGAAATTATCCAATTCCAAAAAACAATATAACATAAGAGAATAGACTATTAATGAACCATAAGTGAGTGAAAGACTGGCATTTTAACAGGATTGATCTCGATTACTACACTTCGAGGCACTGAAAGAACTTCGAGCGGTGCACAACCTAGAAACTGCAGGCAGAATGAAGACTCACCTCACGCCCGGTAGAGATGGGCTTACACTGCGCACTTCCCAGAAGAGCATCTGGTACGGAAATATATCAGTGTGTATCATAGCCTTGCCCTCTCTGACCAATTCGTGTCGTTATGAAAACACGCGGTGCTCAGCCCCCACCACTTAACCAAATGCCCAGAGTCCACCGTTTTTTTATTTTATTTCATTTCATTTGTGCAAAAAATGGCGAAAAAAATCTAAAGCCACAAAACAGTCAGTGACCTGCAAACCCAAATGACAGCTTCAGAAGAGACAAAACAAGAGGTATTCGTTACGTACTAGTTGAATTGTAATCAACTTTAATTACTAATCAAATTATATATATTATATATATATATATATATTATATATATATATATATATATATATATATATATATATATATATATATGACATACAAGCGTACGATTTGAGAAGAAAAAACATTTAAAAATTTTGGCTAAAAAGACATTTATCTCACAAAAGACCACAAGAAAGACAAAATAAAAGTTCGTCAGAATGTTTGCTTTTCCATAATTCAGATACATACATTATTTGCCTTTAATATTTTCATTACAATAAAACAGGCATTTTCCTAAACTTCCTATGTCTAGTTACAATGTCAGTTTTTGATCAATAAAACAATAGATTTTATTTGGGGGTCACCATTTCGAAAACCTTGTCTTGGTGATGTTATCGGCCAATTTTTGTTTTTATTCTAACCCTTATCACAAATATTAACATCTCAGGTCGATTCATGAAATGGGAAAGTACTCCGTTCTTATAATAACTAATATATTAATTAACAATGTATCTCAAATAAATTTAATTTACTCGTACGAACGCATCGTTTCAGTTCCAACGCCTCCCAGTTATAAGCGGTGCGGTAAAACGTCTGTTTGGGATCGATGCAGGGTTTGTGAACACGCCGCGACCAAGAAAGAAGTAGAGGAAGTGCTGCTGCGTGACGCCTAAGTTCGCAGAGTGCACGCGAAGAGAATGTACGACCTTTGAAGTGCTGGGAAGGACGAAGGCACGCGAGATTGATAAATGGTGTTCATTCCAACTTTCCTCGAAAATTACTTTTTTTTTCATTCAGAACTTCTTTTTGGCAATAGTAGTGTTCTTCCATAACCACGTAACACTTCCTTCAAGTTTTCATTTTTTCCTCTTTTCGGAATATTTCTTACCGTAAATGTTACAATTAGCTTCCTGTCTATCTTCAGAAGCAGGAATGTCACCCAAAACACACATTAATTTTTGAAAACCAAAAATTACACTTTCTTTCAGAGATGGTCGATCAACACATACAAGGTCAATGAACTTTCGCCAATGCTGCTATTTTGCGTGTAGGTTTCTTTCTGCACACTTTTGGACTTCATTGATAATGTCACTTCTGATTATACTTCATGTTTCTTAATTCGCAATGCAAGATGTAGATTCGAACGTAAAAATTACATGAAGCAATTCAAATAAAATTTCAATTCAATAAAAATTACAAGCAGTTTTAACT